TAACATGATTAACATGTTGAGGAGAAACTGCAAGGCACTCACTTGCAGGAAAACCATCCTGGGCCATTTCTGTTATAAAATAAGTTAGCTCATTTTGTACTTGCTAGGTATATCATGTACCTAAGGTGCTCCTAATATCATAAATATGTTCATTTTCCTAAAAGTATTTTTGAGAGGGATCATATCTTGAAAAGTATATAGGCCTGTAATCAGACTTGTTTTCAAATTTCAATTTTGCTACTCACTAGACTGATCTTGACAAGATACTTACAATTTTTCTGAGCCTATTTCCTCATATACAAAATGGAAATAATACTGTCTATGACAATGGATGCAAAACAAAAGACATACTGGTTTCTTTGTTCTGGATTCAAGTTTTCTTCTTAATTCCAAAATTTAAAAGAAAAACCAAAAAAGTTTCATGGGACCAACCCTTGGCAAGATAGGATACTGACCATTAAAAAGGCTTCAGGAGATTTTCTAGATGGATCCCAAAATGCTAATGGCCAGCTGTAGTATACTTCTTTGCAGTGTTCTGAGTCTTACGAAGACTTCATAATAGGCTTTTAGTAAGCATGTGTTAATATTTCTGGAATGACTGCAAACTTAGGTATCTCTCTGTTTCCTTCCTCCCAACATGCATGAGGCACCTCTTGGTCCTGTTAGTGTTGCTCATGGCAGTGGGGACACATATACACTATTGTCATCAGGTATGTACTATGTTCTTGAGGTATCAGTAAGGTGATTTCTGGTTTTTACTACATGTAAGTTAACTGTAGAAAAATTATATATGTTTGGCATGCAAGGAGACTGGCTGTGTACCACCTTGGAGAGTCACGGCAAATGGTGAAAACTTTTTTTTTTCTTCCCCCGAGACAGAGTCTCACTCGGTTTCCCGGGCTAGAATGCTGTGGTGTCAGCCTAGCTCACAGCAACCTCAAACTCCTGGGCTCTAGCAATCCTTCTGCCTCAGCCTCCCAAGTAGCTGGGACTACAGGCATGTGCCACCATGCCTGGCTAATTTTTTTCTATGTATTTTTAGTTGTCCAGCTAATTTCTTTCTATTTTTAGTAGAGACGGGGTCTTGCTCTTGCTCAGGCTGGTCTCGAACTCCTGAGCTCAAATGATCCACCTGCCTCGGCCTCCCAGAGTGCTAGGATTACAGGCGTGAGCCACTGCGCCTGGAGGAAATGTGAAAACTTTTGACTTATGCCCTCTAGACAAATACATTTCTTAAAGGAGAAATAGTAAGCACTGCATTTTGTTAATGATGCAATATTATTTGCGTTAAGATATATGGAAAAGAGAGATTAATGACAAAAGTAGAATATAAACTAAGGGAGCAGAACAATGATTAAATTCATTTCTTCGGTTGAGAGGTAAATTAATTTCACTATTTCTGGGCAGCTGAAGCAAAGAAACTGGTAAGGTTTGAATTCTCATTGTCAGAAGGAAAGCAGTATATACATTTGTCTGAAAGGGACACTTTGCTGGTACAGAGTTATCTAGTAATCCTTACTTAATGAACTTAAGTTAGTAGAAACATGTCATTAGGATAGACTTCTGCAAAAGATATTGTGTATGTTCTATTTGTCTATGAAAAAGCCAACAACATAATATTAGGTAAAGAAGTAGCTAAGTAGTAGCCCAGGCAGTGTGGCTTTCTGATTATTTGGCCTAATTCTCAGATATACTTTAGCAAAGTAAAAAGATAGAGTTAACCTATTCCTTACGTATTCTCTCACAAATATCAGAGGTCTCAAGAGCTTTTGGCAAGTGTTAGATCATGTAAACCATGACCATATTTTCTGACAAGTGGATACAATTCTAATTTCCACGTTTCTCTGTGATTTAATAACTATTAATAAGTGATCTTAAAAGTTCCTTCCAGTTCTAAGACTTAGTTATAACTTTTTAGTAAGCCTCATATATGACTAAACACATTAGTAGCATTAATGAAAATGATGGCTTTGGCAGCAAAGTGCCATCAGAAAACATTTTTTGTATATTTTACCAAAGAAAATACCAAAATGTTTTGACAAGTATCAGGATATGAAAAAAAGCATTGGATGACCATGAATTACAACCGTGAAATGCAAGGAATGTGAAATTCAAGCATTCAGATAAGAGCCACATTAAGAGCTTATTAGACCATGAATGTGGTTATACTGTGGGGTCAAATAATGACCCTAGGTACACAGGTTTCTTCCTCTCTCCCTCATTAAAACAGAGAAAATTTAAAAGATGCTCTCCAATAATAGAATTATAATGTGATTTAAATATTTTTTAATTACTCATCTACACAAATGACCTTAGATCAAGCACAGGCAAAATATAAGTTGCATTAATATCTACATGTAGTGTGAAAGTTTTTTTTTTTAATACAAAGTTCATTCACAGTGCACAAGTGAAAACAAGTTTTAAATATTTAAATAACACATAGCCATGATCATTCAAAAGGTAAGCATATTTTAAAGCATATTTCCATACTAATAAAGTGTCTGAAACTATAACACATACCAGCTTAGAGAATTGAGATAAAAACCATTACTTTGATCCCCTTCGTTCGAAAGCAAAAATACCATATTCTTTCTCAGATAAATACATCTGAAATAAGTAAATGCAAAATTATTAACTAGTTAAAGAATTTATCTTTTAAACCTATACTCTCTTATCACTTGTAAAATTCCTAAATTGTGAGGTTAGGAAGCACCACACTCTGCAATGTTCCCTACTTATTTTTACACTATTCATTTGCATTTATTTGGAGGCTAAATAATTTGTAGGAAGGAGTCCATTGGAATAAAGCCTGGAAAATAGGGATAATACAAACAAGAGACAGTATAATTGAACTGCTAGAAAGGGTGATTGCTCCTCTTGGAACTATAGCATAGCTGGTTCAACTGTGAAGCAGCAAGAACCACTTATTTCCTATTGTGCATTGCCTACATACACTGTTTTTTTAAAATTTATATCCTGGCTGAATTAATTTTGGATATAATCTATTTACAATTGCTCAATTTTCCATAGAGAGTTTTGTCCACTCCAGTCTTTGCAAATTCTGACATGAAAAACAAATGATTTCTTGTCTAGTTAGAATTTAACTTCTGTATACGGAATATCTGAAATTACTTTTTTGTTTAAATTTGAATCATTTCTAATTTTTGAACTACAGACACAACACACAGGGCTTACTGTTGAGATTGAATTTTATTTTCCTTTCAATAACATCTGCAGTTAATAAATACCTAGCTTTCAAGAAAAAAAAAAAAACATGCTTAGTATGAGATCAGCTAAAAAGAAAAAAAAATAAAATCCATGGAAGGAGCCATATTACTGATGGGGATGGGGAGAATGTCAGGACCCTTGTACGAGACTTTTAGTAATATTAATTTTTATCATCTATTTATATAAGTTACAATACTGATCTCCTCAAAGAAATGAAGATCCTCCTCTCCCTCTTTTTAAAATTTATACAAAGAGGTGTGATAACAGTACTGACTAATCCTCTGGAGAAATCTGTAGAAAAACAGCTGAGGACATTTTTTTTTTCCATCTATAGTTCTTGGGAATAAAGTTCTATTTCTTTTTTCCTTTAGAAATAGATATGTAGTTGTAAAAGTTATATTTTACAACTGAAAAAATGTTCATTAACATGCATAACGTCTGCTTCGGTGAGGGGTTTCCCTACCTGCCAGCGCTGTTTAGATGGGTTTAACCAGTGAAGTCATCTCCTAGTCTTTGTACAGAACATTATGGAGCTCGATTCCCTTTTTTGTTCATTATTGTCCCTAGACCTGAAAGAAATACAAAAGGTTCTCGACTACTATCTACCCAATAATGTATACTGCTACTAGCTGCTTAAAACTGGATCTACTTTTCTTATCAAACAGTATAAAGCAAATATTTCCTGAATTCTCAGTTTGTGACATATTTTGTGATATTCTCCAACCTTACACTTATATATCAAGTGTTAGATCTTGAGGGGTCACAATAAAGAATGTATTGATATAAAAAAAAGGGGAGGGACAGCAAGGGCATTGTTATCAAAAACCAATTCCAAGAATACTATAAAATTACATAAACTGTAAAATAAAAACTGTCACAACTGTCACACAAGGGGCATTTTTATTAATAAAGGCTTAATGAAAAGGCAGCCAATGAGATAGATGTTTTAAGTAAAAAATGGCATATTTCTTTGTTTTAACCTCCTTTAGCCAATTAAAAATATTTATATAAAACACATGAAAATGTTGAGGGTATTACTGTAATCGAACTGCAATGAATTAAACTTTAAATTTTTTCTTTATTCAGCTAAGAGGAGGATGGTAAACATTATTCTAATTGTTTAAATAATTTCTATTTAAAATAGTCTTATGAAAGAAGCATTTTCCTGATGCCTAGTTGAAATGTTTGACAATATTTTAAATGAAATCAGTCAATTGATTATCCTTAATCTTCCCCATCCCGTGTCATAATCCAATGGCTCTGTCAACAGGAAAAAAACCCACTGTTAACAGAAAGCCTAACTTAAGTATACAACATCAAAAATGAATTAATTTCAAATGGATACAGAGAGTACGAAAACAACTGAATCAAATAGGTAACCTGCCACTGACTTAGCTTCCAAGGCAAATGTCTAAGCTGTTAATAAAGGGTTGAAATTTCTTTCACTAAGTGTATACTAAATTGTTATAATTGGAATTAACTTATGTGAAGGGTTCTTCCATTAACCAGTTTTCTTTTGCGTGGTGAATATAAATTGAATTATCATGGCCAAATAGTTATGGATATAGAATATTACAGATACAGACAATGACTTAGTGGGTTACTATCATTTTATATACAACTGATAACTTAAAAAATTGCTATAAGTTTCATTTCAAGACACCTAGCATTATATTTCTGGAAAAGAAACTGACACTCAGTAACATCATTTAATGAATTAAACTAGTGCCACCACAAATAAGACAACAAGCAGAGAGCAAGTTTATCTTCAGGGACTGAACCTAATGGCCATACCAACTATATTATCCCAATTTGTCACTTCAGTACAACAAAATAGGATGTTAATGCCATTACCACTGTTCTTCCATTCAAAAGGCAGCTGATGGTTAAAGTGCCTGTAACACACATCAGTTATTTTTATCCCATGACTTTATTGTATGTTTAGAAAGGCGTAATAGCAGAAGAGAAAGAGGCAGGACAAAAGACTTTAAAGTTTTCTTTCTTCAGATGTATGCACAGGCGATTATATTATGAGTAGGATTCTGTAAAAATAAACCCATTTGATAAATTTAGGTCTGGGGAGACAAATGTAAAATTTCTAAACAAACTTCACTACTGCATGATCATAAAAATACTGAAAGTTTAATTGCCTAAGTTTCCTATTTTATTAACATTATTAAGAGTACCATCTATCATAATAATACTAGCATAATTTTACCAAACATAAATAAAAATATACTGGAATTCATTTTTTATAGAAAAAAAGTTAAAAACATATATTAAAATTAATCGGTAGAATTGGTGGAGAAGAATCTCTACATGACTGTGTAGGGTATAAACATCTTCAGAAAATATTAGAATTACAATGACTTAGGAACTCCATACATGTTAAAACTGTAATTGAGAAACTATTTGTTAGAATTCTTGGTAACTTTTAAGAAATGGTCAGAATGAAGCAAGGCTACCATTCTCCCAGATTTATTATTTTAAATGGGTCTGCAGGGTACAAAATAGATCATCTGTCCAATTCATAGATACTTTGTAACAGTTCACAGAGTCGTAAGTCACAAAGGTTGGGAAAGGCCTTAGGGACTGACAGGAAACAAGAAAAATGGGGATGGTTTTCCTATCTTAGGGGCCTCTCTGTGCACAAATATCACCACGACCTGGCTCTTAGGACTGCCCTGACCTGCTCTTGGCAGAGACACTGGCAGGAAAAAGGCAAGTTCCCAGCAGCAATGGCAACTCTAGATGTCACACTGCTCAGTTTAGGGGGAGAGACACTTCTATGTAAAACAATGGCTGGCTTTGGGCTTCCCTATTTCATTAATAAACTAGAAATATAGCTTATATTTTTAATGGGGTTTCTGTGGCTTTCATGAGTTTTCTCCCAAAGGCCACATCTGTAAACAAAACTATGATGTAGGCCGGGTGCGGTGGCTCACGCCTGTAATCCTAGCACTCTGGGAGGCCGAGGCGGGCGGATTGTTTGAGCTCAGGAGTTCCGAGACCAGCCTGAGCAAGAGCAAGACCCCGTCTCTACCAAAAAATGGAAAGAAATTAATTGGACAGCTAAAAATATATGTAGAAAAAATTAGCCGGGCATGGTGGCGCGTGCCTGTGGTCCCAGCTACTCGGGAGGCTGAGACAGGAGGATTGCCTGAGCCCAGGAGTTTGAGGTTGCTGTGAGCTAGGCTGACCACACGGCCCTCGCCCCAGGCAAGAGAGTGAGACTCTGTCTCAAAACAAAAAACAAACAAAAAAAAACTATAATGTAATTTCTGGTGCTAAAAAGGAGAACCAACCAAATCAAGATAGTACTAAAAATGTTCATCTCGAATAGCAACTATTCATAGTTAACTACCATGACTAGGATGATACTGTAAACACTTTATGGTTTTAAAATAATACACTGAAGATGTAGAAAACATTTACAAACCCAGACACTTAAAAAAACACCAAAATTATTTTTGGCTTATGTTAAAGATGATTATGTATTTCTGTATGCTTCTACATATATGTTTTAATTTACGAAAGAAAGAAATGAAACAAAGTAACAAAGCTTTAGTCTAGAGTTTCCTAACTCCTTCCTGTCTCCTTCATTGCTGGTTTACTGGTCGGAATGAGGTACCATGTGAGCTGTGCTTCCCTTTCCAGCTTACTTTCTCAGATACGTTTCCCCTGTAGAAGAGGAGAAGAGGTAGTTTGGCTTAAGATCCTTTTCTCAACTGAACTGAGTGCGGCTAGGGAGGAACCTTTCACACTTCTACTCCTTCCATTTGTGACCCTGCTGCAGCTGCCTGTAGGGTAAGGCTCACAGATAAAAGTTATAAAATATTTGAAATAAGGGAGAATGACTTAATTATAGCATTTTCTTTTTCTCAACTTCTTCAACGAATGACTTACTGATTTTAATTCTTCAGTTACAATTAACAACTGATTATGCTACTAAGGGAAGTCCTTAAATATATAATATTTTATTATGAACATGTTTAATAATGTCAGACTGGAGAATCAGACAAAAACATTAATACATTAAATACTAAATTCTATGGCTATATAAATTAAGCAGGAAAGAGGCTTATCTAAATGTTTTTAATTAAAAGAGAATAAGATTAAGAACAATCTTATTCTTATTAAAATTTTTAGTCAAGCCAACTAAATAAAAAGCTTTGCAAGTTGAATATTTAACATACACATAATGATTCATAGACTATGAACAATGAGGAAAAAAACGACAACTACAGTTCAATTCTTTACATGCAGAAAATATGAGTCATCTGAACATAATAAACAATCTTAGCTCTCCGTTCACCTTTGTTCTGTTCAAAATGAGTTCTAGAGGATATTTTTAGTTCAGTCAGAAGGTAATCAAGTTATTCAAAGAAATATTATACAAATGAAATTCAGAAGCTAGCTTCAGAGATTCATGCCATTAAAATTATTACATCATAAGGAGCAAACAGGATATAAGTCAAGCAGAATGATAAATGATTAAGATAAGTTTAAAGTATAATTTTGCATTTAGTCGGCACCAATGCAGTAAAAGACTTTTTACTCACATAATACAATTTATTTCTCCTGATGAAGAGCTTCAATGAAAGCATCAAGTTTTTCTTGAATTTCTCTGACTTTCTCTGTGGAGATAAAAAGAGATGATAAATTTTTCAAAAAATTATTTTTCAAATGTATCACAAATCATAGGAGACAATTATTTACTAACTGTTCTGGTATACTTCTTTAAATATTTGGAGAAAAGGGGAAAAATTAGAGTCTCATCATACCACCTTATACCCAAATAAAGTCCAGATGGATTACAGTAGTAGCTCTTAGCCATTTTTTGAAAGGAGGAGAGGCAGAGACCTGTGACAGATCCTTTTAGAATCTAATAAACAAATCTAATAAAATCTAATGGTTTCTTACACAGAAAAATGTACTTATAGACACATGTACAATTATGTACAGAATTTTATGGAATTTCCAGATTCTCTGAAACCTAACCAAAGACTCACAGTTAGCAATGCCTAAAACAGAGGAAGATATAAAATAATAAAACTGTTTTAAAAAATTAAAAGAAAATATAAGTGGATATTTAACTGGCCTTAGCCTGGGAGAAGACATTTAAAGTATAAAGTAACAGGAGGAGTTACAAAGGAAAAGATCAACCAATATGGCCATGTTGAAATGTACACTTTTATTTATATATCAAAATGTCATAAAATTAAAAGATGAAGGAAGCTGTGGGAAATATCTGCAATGAACATGAGACGGGCATGTACTTTAAAAACACATACAAAAAAAGTACTTTTCCAGCTGTGAATAAGGAAAGAAAAGTTTAAAAACATCAGAGCCACTAAATGTAGATTTACATTATTTATTTGATTTTCATGTTTACAAACTTCCAAATAAAATGTATAATTTCTTGCTGGGTGTGGTGGTGTGTGCCTGTAGTCCCAGCTACTTGGGAGGCTGAAGTGAGAGGACTGCTTGAGTCCAGGAGTTCAAATCCAGCCTGGGCAACATAGCAAGATGCCATCTCCTCAAAAAAAAAAAATCTATAATTTCTCTCTGAAATGTAGATTTCCTCCACAAATGTGAACTATTCACAGTACATGCCAATCCCCTATTAAAAGTGGAAAAGTCATGATCTATACTACTTGATTGCTAACTTAATCACGCACCTCCTATTTTAAAATATAGGTTATAGTAAGTATGCTAATAAATATTTTTGTCCTTTTAACACAGTTTAACAAATTAGGAATTATTAATTAAAGTGGGTTGCCTGGCTGATTTAAAGCTAGTGATCTAGAGGCAATATCGGCAAGCATCCTACTTTCTATCCACAGGAAAATCATAAAGGATGCATTTAACATTGAACGTTTAAATCTTTTTACATTTGAAAGTAAATATCTACAATTGAAGAAGCAGGTATCCCTTTTCACCAGTAAGATAGTATTAGTGATGAGTATCCAATAAAAAGAATTGTGCTTTTTACAAATCCTTAGTAACCTTGCAGGAGGAACTCAACAAAGTCTATGCTGGTTACAAACAAAGAACATAATGTTTTCATATTCTTTTTCCAGTAATTTAACACTTCTAATTCTTGGTATTAGATTGATACTAGAGAAACCAGAAAAAATAATCCCAACCCATCTCTTAGAAATTTAGTCTATATTTCTTGGCAGGCTGACTTTCACTTAAGAATTTTTTTTTTTTAGACAGCAAAGCAGTAAACATACTTGCTTTCCCAAAATAAGGCCTCATTCTTAGTTTTAAAATTAATTCATTTAGTTGCTTAGAAACAACCTATTTTTTTTTTCAACGAATACAAAAGTTTCACATAGGTGCAGTTCATCAGCTGAATAATTTTTAAAAAGGGAGGAAGGTAGGAGAAAAAAGTTTTTTAAATTGTCTCAGAATTTTCAAAATGGATGGGTCTTTCAAAACTCATTTGACTCAAGTAACACAACACACAAATCTCAAATAGGTGTTTAGAGCCTCAGCAGCTCCTCTAAACATTTCATTGACAAATATTTCTACTTGAGAATGCTGAATTACGTGAAAAGAGGAAATCCAGTTCTATTTAATACATGATTTGAGTACCACAGGGCAGCTGTAAGGCTAGATCTGTCCATCCTTTGCCCTGTCAATGACCTTTATCCTATCTGTAGGCATGTGGTGTAATAGCCTCACTTACGAGAGACTGTTAAGAGCAGAATCTATTTGGACCAAAATATATCAAGAGCCACTCTGATGCAGGTGTCTGACTCTTTAAAGTCTAAATGAAAGTCAAATTCTTCTAAAATTAAGAAGTAAGCATTTCTTTTGTAAATGAAAGTACAATGACTAATTTACTGTAATATAAAAACCACAGAATAAATAATTGCCGAATTTCCCTTAAGACACTATGCTTTTATTACATAAAATATTTTACAATTAGAATATCAGAACACAGTACTACCATGCCTTGAAACCTCAGGAATGACAAAAGTTATTTAAATTAATTACTAGGAAGTAATGGGGGCAGAAGGTATGAAGGGAGGGGAGAACGGAGGGAGAACTGAAGTACGTGAAAAAGAAAAAGGAGCAACTGTGGTAAATGTCTCCTTTAAACACTATCTAAAAACATTCATTTCTTTGTTCTTTCACTTATACAATGCACTCAATGGAGTTATACAGGGACAAAGATGATATGCTACCTTTGGGAAGCATTCCTTGCTTACCCTCTCACTCTAAGTCTATGAAGTTTTTACTATGTGATTTCAAACATGGCATTTCATTTGACCTTCATATAACCCTGCAGGTATCACTGCTAAAGGTGAAGACATTAAAGCTTGGAGAGTTAGTCTTGCCCACGCTCCTTTGATTTAGAAATACAAACAAGATCTGCTACCACATGTTAACTCATAATCGTAATAAAGCAAATGCTATTATTATTTTATTTGTTTTAAGCTTTACGTTTGACATGAAATAAGACATATTTCAGTAAAAATCAGGGAACACAATAGTTACTGATACCTCCTAAGTAGTCCTGTAATTAAGGATGACCAAAACTGTAAAATATTCTGATAAATATTATGACCTCCTGAGGAGACTAAATCTATACACATTTGGATAAATCCTTGGAGAACAATATAAGAATATGAAATGGGACACCAGCATCTTCAGTATCTAGAATAATGTCTGGATGATCATATATGCTCAATACTCAATAAATGATAGATGAATGAAGTTCCTGAAAATACGGCACAGAAAATAAGGGCTGTGGATTATCAATCAAGGAGAAGGAGGGGGAAAAAAAAAAACCCACTTAGCCAGCTTCCTGAATATCATACCATTGAACAAGAGGACAGAAGACAGGATCATGAGCAAGACTGGGAACAGGCCACACATTGACAATGAAGGTTAAGGAAAGCTGGTGGGTCATACCTGAACCAGATAAGCAACAGAGATCAGAGAATACTCAGCTCTCACAACACAATACCAGTGCAGGAAAAACCTTCAACTTAATTAT